ACCAATCATGATACCAGCGCCCCCTTTGTCCAAAACTTTTCAAAGTAAAGCTGTATTTGAAATAAGGTAACACCTGGTTACACTCACATAAGTGTAACAATTGTCACAAATGTCAATCAACCCTGATAATGAATGCCAGTGAGGAAAACATGGTGGCTATAACAGTATGTCACCCCTTCATGATAAATAAAATTGCTATGAATTTACTTAATTCATTGAATTTTATAGTAGTGGTTGAATTAAGTTGGGCCCCTCATTAAATACACTGGACGAAATGTTGAGAATTGCTAAAAGTAGGGGTCATCGTAACAGCTCCCACTCCGTCAATATTTTATCAATTTCTGTTTTCTTTACATGGAATGAAAAATGAATATCCACTCCAAATGCGTAAGCAAAAATCAGTGTTATATATGAACAGCAACATGCTGTATTATAGCTTTGAAAAGGAGTGAAAATCCCTTTAATAGTTATATACAACCTTTAAGCTTAAAATAAAAATACCAGTATAAAATAGGATTAGTAAATATGTAACTATAAGCAGACTCAAAGGAGCAGCAAGTCTGAATAAACATATTTCATAATTTCCAAAACGATTATTATGGATTGCAGATGTTTTTATCTGCCAATTGTACCAGTTCTTCCTCTGGTATTTTCTTCATATAAAAATACATATTTCCCCAATATGTTATGGATTTAGATGTGTGAGGCCAAAACTATTTATGAAACCCCTTTACAGGTGCTTTCAAATATATCATAAGTGCAGGTGCACCTTCTATTTCTTCAGTTATAAGAAATAGAAATCCAATAAAATATTTTTGATATGTGAATAATATTATGAATTATGATTATATCATATAGTATTGAATTATATGTACTATACAAATATTGAATTCTGTGGAGTTGAATATCTGTGTATATTTCTGAACGTATATTCACCGCAGCCCGAAGTTTGAGGTGAATAAATCCCTAAGAAAAATATATACAGATCAAGACTAACATATACTTTCATTATCTACAAAGAAACCCCTCTAGATGAACATTATTTCAGCTGATATTCCTCTTGAAACGTGGTGGATCTTAAAATCAATAAGTGGGACTCCCTTTAAAGAAGCTTTGAACTGAATTTACAATTCTGAAATTGATAGTTTACACATACATTTTAAGAAAATAGGTATGTCAAAGAAGGTCTTGAGCCAAATATTGACCTGAAAGCTCAGAAAAAATAAATATTTTCGAATTTTCTCTCTACAGTCCTTGTTGTCCCTTTAAAGTAGCACTCAATATTAAAGTTAGAAGTACACAATATATGACGTTTAGTTTCAACGTATTTCCAAACATTTGCCAGTATTCCGTTATAAATCACGATCTCTGTCACACCATAATATATAAAAATTAGATTCGGATCTTCCATGTTAAAGTCCATAGTCTTCGTGCTTTGAATAGTTGACATTTTGAATACATTTGTAAAATCTTTATCCCGCGTTTGTTATACAGTATTGAATCTTTTTTGGGAGGACTTCCTGATACAACTTCACCGTCTGTCATATCAGATGAAAATACTTTTTACTAAATTCCTGGGAATCAAGTGATGTGACATCATTTTAATTCACTAAAAATTATGTCACTGCCGGTGAATACACTTTTCACACATTTTCTAAGCAGGGAGAAATGGAATACCTCTATATATTTTTGGTCACATGGTATCTAATTAACCAATGAGAGATAGAGTATCACGGCAGACTTTCAGACTTAACATTGGCAAACTAAATTTGGCATTGAATCAGAATCAATCATGTTTAAGGGCTCAATTTAGAACTACAAAGTCATATTATGTACATGCATTTTTAATAATTACCTACTTGCCAGTAGGTAGATACCAGATTCACAACCAGGCGGCTAGTTCAGGTCAGATAACATAGCAGTATTAGAAAGTTCCCTTTAACTATCTGTCTAATACACTTACATTTCACTTTTTGTGCTCTTTCATAACATGGGGTCTATGGGGAATCTACCCGACCTGTAAGTCACATCTTTAAACAAAGTCAAATTTTCAAATTTCGGATAATTTGAAAATTTAATCATTTTAATCAAGATTATTTCTACTTGCATCTAGTCTATTGAGTTGGTTGATCTATTGTTGAAGGGATGTGATCTTAAGAGCAAACTCACAGCATCACTTTGTATAATTTGTATTATTTAGAATGAACATGAGTTCAGTTTTCGGATATAAGACTTCATAACTGAACTAGGCCACATTTTGCACTTGACTTGTCAATTGCGATAACCGCTTCAAGCCCTAAAAGATATCAAAAATATTTATTTCAAAAAATTCTAATCATTATTATGTACGAGACACAAACATATTTAAAAGAAGGTCATTGTTCAAAAAGCTCAAAATCTTACATTTGAACCCGGAAAAACCCAAGATTGCTTTCAAGAATTGCAGGTTTAACTGTTATAGAGTGGCAAATCACGGAAGCGATAACTTATTATCCTTTTTAACTTTTCTTCGGTCATTTTGAAGATTCACATGGATTCCGAGAATCCTAAAGTGTATACTGGACGAACCATATTCAGTCAAAAATCCACATGTAAATCAAACTCCCCACCCCCAGGACGACAATCTTCGTCAAATTCCTACCCCTGGGGGCAATATTGTGGATCTAATTCCTTACCCTCTCTGCGTGGGGGGGGGGTCTCACGCAAACTTTTGAATGGTGCATAAGTAGATACATTGTGAAAATAGATACCGGCATTTATTTGCTCATTTGATAGGAACAAAGTACTTTTCATAAAAATAATGTTTTAACTCAACTGTTACTGTAATAGGGCGAAGGGGTGTAACGTCAACACCATTTTGGGGTAACTTCGACGTGTGGGGTAACTTCAACAGCTTGTTGTTTACTTGCTCTAATTTTGGATCTAGGTGGAAGCATGGGCTATGGAGGAAGCAATTTCTTCTAGCATGGATTGAGATCTCGCGAGATTTAAATTTTTCCAGAAATCAAACATGTAAGAAAACAGAAATTCTACTTTTAATAAGTGTCAAACTTACCCTGTCTATTATGTCGACATTACCCAACACATAGACATTACACGTAGACACCATTTTGAGGTAACTTCGACATGTGGGCCTTGTGGGGCAACTTCCACACCTTGTTATTTATTTGCTCTAATTTCCGATCTAGGGGAAGCCATGTTTTTTTCTCGCAAGGATCGAGATCTTGCTAGATTATAATTTTTCCAGAAATAAAACATGGCGGAAAACAGAAATTCTACTTCTAATAAGTAAGTGCCAAAATTACCCCGTCATTTATGTCGACTTTACCCCCGGGGGCTTCACTATATCAGTGTTCGCGTTGACGCCGTTTTTTGCCATTTTTACGGAAATTTCAGAAGGTTGGACGTAAAAATCAAAATCAACTTACGTCCCTAAGACGCAAAAATTATAAACTGCTTCAAGATAACTTTTACTGCAGCACAGTAGCGGTGAAACATGATTTTCATCAAGATTTCCAAACTCACTACCTTGATATACGAGCAATGATCCAGGTATATTTATATCGACAAATCTGATTGGCTATCATGACTACCGAAGATTAACAGAGTTTCCAGTATGAGACATGGATTTTGATTGGTTCCGATATATTCCGGAAAATGCCGCAATCGAAATGGAAGATCAAAACATACAATATTGCAGAAATCCCCTGTGGTTCCCCACAAATTGAAACGATTGTTTTTCACGATTATTTTTATTATTTCCACTAGAAACCATTATATCGATCTAATGTTATACATCAAGATAATTGTTTAATGATAGATCGAGGTTTTTCATCTAAAAGTCTTCAGAATAAGAGAAATGTTAATAAAAAGAAGCAAAAGTTCACGACCTTGACATGACCTTCAAGATCGCAAGTTTGTAAAATGTGAAAACAAAACTCTTAATTTGAGCATTTCCTTTATTCATTTCGGACTATTTTGGTATAACATTACTTAAGAATTGTGTGAAAAGGACCCAGTGATAGATATTTATCAGGAGGATGCATCAAATTACAATATATGTCATTTTTATCCCATTTTAGTGTAAGCACTCTATTATCGCCCACTTTATTTTCACTTTCACAATATTTTCTTGAACTTTGTGAAGAAATAAGAGGGACGCAAAAAATTAGATGGGGACTCAAATTTTTTCAAATGGGTTGCGTCCCTGGGACTAAAAAAATGTTAATGGCTAGCGCGAACACTGTATATATAAACCTTGACGGGGATCCTCGGCGCATGCGGAAATTTCTGACTTCTGAGGTATGGCAATGGTCAGACTTTTGCTCTTCTGGTATGAGAATGGTCGTTGTAGATACGTTACCTAACATTCGTGGTATGGCATTGGTCCAGTAGTTCCAAATTTGTATGACACTGATCCATTTACTTTGATTTCATTTACTTTGAATTAGGTATGGCATTGGTCCAATATTTGGACATTTGGTATGGCATTGGTCCTACATTTTGACATTTGGTATGGCATTGGTCCCATAATTGGGCATTTGGTATGGCATTGGTCCTATATTTAGACATTTGGTATGGCATTGGTCCTATATTTGGACATTTGGTATGGCCTTTGGGCGTTATTTTGGTTGGTATGGGAACATATTGAAATTTGACAGATTGGTATGGGAACATATTGATATTTGAGGCTTCAGCCTAGGACCCCCGTCGAGTTTTATATACAGTGAACCCCCCGGGACTTTAACCCACACGTCGATGCTACACCCCTTTGCCATAACAGTCTGACACCATTCACCTTGAATTTCTTTTCATTCCTAAATATTGGAACACTTATAACTTGAAATCATCAGAATATGTCGAACTATTCTCTCATTCAATATTTCTAGCTAGCCCTCGGTACAGACGTAATTGATTTTGCCATGTTGGATCGTTTTTCAAATGAATGAATCTCAATGCTGAATCGAATGTCGGAATGACAATGAATGAGATTGACTCACCTTACAAATCCGAAGTACAGTAAACCTATGATAGAAACTGTCAGCAATGTTATAGTGTGCGGTTTATAAAAGAATGCTAGAGATATATCATCGACGGGATGCTCATTTATAGTGTAAAAGTGGTCGGAATCTTCCGAATTAGTGCTTAGTGTTCGAATCCTGGCCATCTTCGAAGTTATCTTGTTACGCTAATATAACGAACAAAATATTTCTATTTCTTTCTCCAGTTCGGGGTTTTATCGGGATCAATACAGGGTGTCTCAAAAAAGAAAACCGAGATTAAATTGCTAATTTCTCAAAGATGAATATAGTTCAGGAAAATTCGCAGGAACCATCATGTGCGTGTCATTATGTCTTCTTTCATTTGATACCAAGATGTTCTATTTTCCTTCAGAGATGACTGAGCAATGAGGGATAAGTGACCATGTCAGAAATTGGTTTGTGCCATCATGGGCATAACAAACATCCCTGGTGATGTCTCTCTGTCCCCGTAGATCCACATTTGCGCCATCGGTTTGTGTAATAATGAGACATGGATGTATTGTTTTTTTTAGTTATAGATAATAGATAATTAATAGATATCAGGGGTCCGTTGTCAGACTTGAAAAGAGCAGACTATCACAATGAATGAAATGCCCAAATTTTACAGTTTTGTCAAAATGAAAAATTTTATGATTTTGAAATAACTATTGGCCAAGCCCTGTAATATGTTATTTATAGTTTTTCACACTCCGGTCATTGTTTTCCCTTATTAAGCTTACAATTTCCGTGGCGCTGTAAAGAAATGGCTATTACATAATGTGATGTATTATGCCTAGGCCGTAAGATGTATGAAATGTGTTTTAATGTCAGTATTCAGGCCCAGGGAGGGGAGGGGGCGGGTCCAAAGATACAGATCCGGAGCCAGATTCAGCCCCTATTGGTAGTAGGCTCAAAGGATAAATGGGAAGATAAGACACGAGCCAAAAATGCTACATCAAAAAATGACCACCCAAAAATATGACCCTCCTATACTGACCTTTATTTTTCCATCTGTCAGACATTGATTGATCAATATTTACCCTATAATCTCTGGGTTTGTGTAAAAACCGGGTGACCGGGTAACCGGGTACCCGGTCGACCCGGTTACCTAACGATCCAGCAAACAGTGACGTCCATGTCACGTTGCTCATAAGTAGCATATAAATTCCTAGAAGACGTTGCACATTTTCGTTCTTTACACATCGAGGCAACGTAAACATGAGACATCTATTGATGGTATAAAAAGAACGTTGTTGTAACGTGTCCGTAAAGTTCGTTAGTGTGGAAAACGTAACAAACAGGAACGTTTGATTTTTTACTACATTGGTCCATATGTGACGTAACTCAAACGTTAAAATTCAACGTTGTCAAAACAGGCTTTTAATATCAAAATATTTGTTGGTGGAAAATAACATGACAAAAACTTTGTGTTCTCACTAAGTCGGTTCATTTCCGACGTATTGTTAACGTTAAAATTTAACGTTGTCGAAACGTTTTTCCGATTTGAAATAACCTCAAAACATGACGTCAATAATGGACCGTGTTGATGTATTGATCTGACGTTATTTAAATATTCAGCAAAACGTCGATGGATGGTTGAATTTCAACATTGTGGAAATGGCGTCAAAATATTTGTGAGTTAAGGAAACGTTACAAAGACGTCAATATGTTCTCACTAAATCGGTTCACTACCGACGTTATTTTAACGTTAAAAGTTAACGTTGTCAAAACGTTCTTACAATGTGGAATAACCTCAAAACGTGACGTCGAAAATAACGTACATGTATCGTCCAGATCCAACTTTATAAATAAAAAAAAATTCCTAACCCTGCTAGGAACGTTAAGTACCCGGTCACCCGGCAGAGGTCCGTGGGGGGTTCGAGAGAAGTCCCCTCTGGCTAAAAATTCTTTCAGAATCATACCGTTTTTCAACATCCAAAGCTGTCAAAAGTGAATCCCCCTGGAATCTTTTGAAAGACCTGGTATTTTATCTGGATTTCTAGATTGCATCATCAATTTCATTCACTTGAAGGATTAGGCTTAGCTGAGCTGAAAGTAAGAACGTTCTCAAATATGAAATATTGCTTGTTCATAGTTTTGACGCATTACGTTTGGCCCAATCAAAACTGCCGTGTCTTTAACAATAAATTGAGCCAATAAAATTTCGTGTTACATTGATGGACAATTAGAAGCAAAATGGAAGTTCTCGTGGAATAAAATTTTGAATACTTTATTCCTTAAAATACCAATGTAAATGACAATGGAATGATTTGAAAGATTGTGAAAGTTAAGATCGATATGAGTTCTATCCACTTTGTTGTCCATACCTTACCCGGTACAGAGGATCAACTACACGAAAGGTTTGTTGTCTTCATCTTTTCTGAGTTTTGTTCTAATTTTTCAGTTTTCTGAGTTTGTTTCGGTATTTGAAACTGACAATGACATTGTCTGAATAATAAATGACTCTTGAGAAACCCATTGTTTAAAAACTTTATTCATGTGTTTGAAGTATGAGTAATAAATTATCTTGGATTACCCAATATTCGGCCAAGCCCAAGTCCTTGCTGAGTCAAAGTCTGGAAGTTGAATTTATTGATGACATGATGTATGTACTTTACTCGAGTCTCTAGCTTACAGCTAGACGAAACTTCATTAATTTTGTATGTACTGTGCTACTCGCACCTACACGCACCTAGAACTCATTTTTAATAAATTTTATAAATATTTTTAAGAATATTAATCATATTTAGGATGAAGCGTTGCTTGTCTGGATTTAGATATTTCAAAATTTCATTTCGGAGTTTGAAACATGATGAAATTTTCTCGCTGTAGCTAAAAATGGCTTCCGGTTCTGGACGTGAATAAAATTTGAAATTATTCTCGCAGTTTTGAAATCAAATATAACAATAGATTCAGATGGGGATGTGAGCTGATGTTCTTCAAATCTATACATAAAGGTTTATTTCATATTATTATGCCATATTTACTGTGCGTGTGACACAATGATTTACAATATTTATAATACTAAGGCAGCTCAATCTTCCTCCTCAAAGCCGGAATATAGAGAAGGCTTTGGACCGAAGTAATATGTACTGATACTGCAACTGATGTGAGGGTAGGGTACTCCCATAAATGCGAGAATGAGTGTAGCCTGCACTCACAATTCAAATCCACCCAAAATTGTGAAATAAAAAATGATTATTTCCAGTTAGATCTACAGAAAACCTAATTTGAATGATAACACTCAATGTCTAAATAACACAATGGATGAACTTCCGTTGGAGGAAATTTTGTATTTTATCATTTTCACCTACAAAGAGGTTGATTCGGATCTAAATATATTTACCATGTTAAAAGTACCATCCAGTTACTGAAGATCTCGTCAGTCATGAGCAAATATATCCAGCAGCCCCATTTAATGAATGAGAATTACTTTTCTTCAGCAACCAGGATGCTATCTGGTGAATTTCATAATGTCTTGGTTGCATTATGCAAACATCTTGATTGCTAAAACAAGGGGTTTCTCATTAGATTATTGGAGTTATTAGATGTATACACTTGTGACTGCATCACTTTTCAGTAACTGGATGCTACTATTAACATACAGGTAAAATATTTGGATACAAATTGACCCCCTTGTTGGTTAAAATGATGGTAGTAAAAGTTTCTTCTGACAGACATTACCTTATGGCCTTCACTAGTCCTGAAGCTGGATATAAGACTTAGTTATAAACAGACTTTGGACTCTTTAAAATTTTATATTTTAAATTACTTACTCTTAGTCTTAATAATGTAAATCTATGCAATTAACTTCGACCTCTATATGATGTAGCAATATCTATACCTTTTAGATAGAAACTTACCTAAAAAGTCCAACAGTTTACCATCATCTGTACTCTACTGGAAGCTATATATTTACCCATTCTAGCTATATGTTATATATTCTTAGCATTACGATGTGAAAAATCTCAACTCAACTTTCATACCTAGACACAGATTCTAGTTTTCTGCATGAAAAAAATTTCAAAAATTCTGCAAAAAATTCTGCAAGAAAAAAAGCAAATTCTGCAAGGAGAAAATCGAAATTCTGCACAAATTTTGCAATCTATCCTATCCATCGAAAACGGAAACGGAAGTCAGCTACTTTCTAGGTAAGAACTGCGCGTCATTAGCGAACTCGCTTTAGCGAATTTAAACGTGATAGAATGTTGTATTTCACGGTGAAATCGTACTTGTACTCAATAATGATTGATTGTTGGACATAAACAGACACTCTTCAAATACCCCGCAAAGGTAGGAGATCGTAAAATATGTAATTTCTGGAAATTCTGGTAATTCCGCGGGCTTTTCATGAAAATCAGGGATTCTGCAAAAAATTGAAGTTTTGTCAAATTCCATCCACGCCGCGGAATTACGGAATACTAGTATCTATGCCTAGATATACTCAAACTTTGATATTAAACCCATGTAGCATTCCTGACAAAAAGTAAAATATCTCTTGTATCTGTAAGAACACGCCATAGCCTCGAGCTCTCATGCATTGATGTAAAGTTTGTATTTTTCTGAGCTCCACCTTGTTGATCCTATATATTTGTGATATATTATTTGAAAAAATCACAAAGAAAGGATAAAAATGGCCAAAATAGACCCAAGGGTCCGGAAATTCCTGATCACCCCTCGTATAATCAGCTTCCTGGCACTTTGTTAACAATGAGTTTGTCAATATTCTCCAATGAAAATTCAACAAAATGGTAATTAAGTAATTCCTTGTTTAACATCTTCATATTTCCAGTTGAATCATTTGATGAATTGATTAAAAACAATCGAGGATGTATTTTGTTATGAAAGTCTAGAACCTGTTATTCTGACTTAAACGATAGGAAGAAACAAGAGGAACATCATCTACTTGTTTTAGAAGTATTTAGATCATGATCATTACTTTATTCAATGCAACATTTTTCTGATTATAGATTGAAAGATGTGGCTGAGAAGATCAGCCGTCATGGGGCAAATAGTCCCATCGCATTATCTGCCTTGAAAAACTGTTCTATCATCCAAGCTGTAGTGGGACCCAACCATATAGCATTCCTGCTTCAGGTAATCTTATTTAGGTCCCTAAAGGTTAATTGTTTGTTTAGATGAAAAAAGGTAATGAGTAAGGAATTTTGTCCAAATGTGAAATATAATACCGAATTGATTTAATCAAGAAGAATGGTGATAAATCATGTATTCACCATATGGGAGAGGGAGTTAAATCATAAAAATCATAATGTAATTAACTTCCTATTCTACAACTGTTGACATGTGGATACCATGCAGAATAGGCTTTTTTCATAAAAAATTACAAAAATAGATGTCAAGATCAATTGTGAAATTATAAAATTTACAAGAAAATTAGTACGGAGAATAGAAATAACCAGAAAGGTTCACTTAACAGACATTTTTTTAAAATTTTGATGGCCTTGGTAGGTCATTATTATTAAAGTGTCACAAATTTTCATGACCTTTTTGAATGCAGAATTATGGAATGTATGTTCAATTTAACAGCATTGTTACGTTGATTTGTATTGTAGGATGGACGTGTCTGCAGGGTTTCATATACAATTCTGGGAGAGAGGCTTGACCTTACGAAAAGTGACACAAAAAAGTAAGATGACAAATAATTTTCATGGGTTATGACCTGATTTCAAGAATTCAACTCTCTAATATGATGAATGATGTCAATTTTATAAATGACGTCGTAATAGATGGAAATTTGACATTTAGACACCATCTTTATGTTTTATGTTTCAGGAAATGGAGTGTCTTGGGAGGTGGTGTCTCCACTGGTAAGACAAACCAGACTGCCTCTGGGGGTAGTCGTGCCCCCCACCGCCCCAGGGGAAGGGTTGTCAGGGCTGTTAGCAGGGGGAGAGGTGGGGTCAGTAGCGTCATTGTAGGGTCTCGCCCTATTGTGCCTGCCCCTAGTGTCCCTGAGGACCTTATTAGTCAGGTAGGTAGAAATATGGGTAATTTTCATGGTTTTCTGTATGTACTTCCCGAATGTGTCGTAGAAAAACTGATTAGCGTTTGTAAGTAATGCTGCAACCCAACCAGAGTGCCCATGTAAAGTAATAGTGGAATGTGTTAATTTGAAAATTGTATCAAAGTGGCAGTATCATAGCATAGTATTGCTTCATGTACACCATAGGCCTGATAATTTCTACTACTCTAAATACATCAATCAGAAAGAAGAAGTTAGGATTTGAGTCAGAGATGATAAAATTAACATTATGAGCTTCATTCCTTGGGTTTGATGAATAACAAAGTGTACTAAGTACATAATTAATCTAAATTTCAGGTGCAAGTGGTCCTCCAAGGGAAATCTCGTAATCTGATCATACGTGAGCTCCAGAGGACAAACCTTGATGTAAACATGGCGGTGAACAATCTTCTCAGCCGTGACGATGATGGGGATGATGATGGTCCTGAAGATGGAGGTGAACCATATATCGCTGGAGGGGATGATCTTATTTCACTACTTGATGCAGGGATGCACTCTGATCACCCAGGAGTTATAATAGATGCCGATGCTATGTTTAGTGAAGATATGTTTGGATACTCTAGTCTTAGAACTCGACCCTCCAGTAGGTCAAGAACTGCAGGTGGGTCTCATTTATATGCATATCTATGATATTTTTCTATATTTATAGTTTCTCACTTCTTAGATACACGGAATTGAGGAGTGAAAATGATATTTATGTTACAGTACATAAGGACCTGTCATAGTCATACTTTGATTTCTTTGTATGTGTATGCTTCATGGGTATGTGAATTTAAAGATTTAAGAGGAAGTATTTTTTCAATGCTCAATGCGCAATATATGACCACCAAGAAGTGATGACATATTGTTCTGGTCTTTTTAGTGCCCGGAGCACTTTGCAGTTAGCATATGTATGCAGTTGTTACACATTGGCATTAACTTACCAGACATTTTGTGACATTTTGTCATGTTACTTTGTTGAAATTTTGACGTCAGCCCAAATGCTCCTGAGTGAACTTCATCAGTCCCTCCATGTGGCATAAAACTTTCCAGAACTTTAACTAGATTTCTTTATTCTAGTTGAACGGGACTCTGACAGAGAAAGGGAATCTATATTCCGGCTGCGGGACAGACGCTGGGCTGAGAGTGCACTGAGGGATGAATCTTTGGCACGGACGCTTGATCGCGATAAATCAGATACAGAATCGAAGAAAAATACAATTGCCAGTGGTACACAGAACCCATTAATTTTTGGGGAAGATCTGCAGTTCTGGCCTGAACGGGTGAGTAGTTACAAAAAATGAAGTTTTGAACAATAGAATAAAAATGGAAAGCTTCTTACATTTGTTTTGTTATTTGACAATATGAAATATGCACCTGTTAGTTTTTCAATTTGTTTTGTATTCATATCTGATGTTATGATTTATATCAATGTTTCTGCCAGACGATTAACTTATCTATGATTTTACATGAGGCACTAATCTATTAGAGGTATGTAGTTTTGGCTATAGCTTATTAACAGCTAGCTTGTGTATTTTAATCCTCTATTTTGTTTTAAAAAATAACTTATTGTTCATATTGCAGGATGGGGAACTGCCTAAATTTGTGCGTATAGCAGCTATGTACAGTGACTTAGTGGCTATTACACAGACTGGGCAGCTATGTCAGTGGAAGTGGTCAGAGTACTACCCATTCCTACACCCTACAGTAAGTTTTAACGTTACCATTAGTTTTTTACAAATTTCCATTTTTTTTCATTAGCAATTGTGAGAACATTGACATATGATCTTTGCTTCATTGGACAGAAAAATTATGAAATGTATTTTATGTTTAATTTGCTTTAATTTGCCATTTAGTATAATCTCACTACCCAGAGTTGAAAAATAATTATTTTGTAACAAATGGCGATTTTGTTGCTGTTGTAACTCAATATTAAATATCTTTTGTAAATGCAAAAAGTTTCCAGCACTTGTATAAGCCAAATATTTTATTTTTGATGATTGATTGGCTGATCATTTCTCTTCATCTTTGATTATAGCACACAGCAGTATTTCACCCGAAGGTTCCAATCTTGGGTTTGACCAATGAAAAAATAGTTGGACTCTCAGCATGTAATGTAAGAGCCTCGGTATGGACTGAATCTGGAAAGGTAGGAAAGTATTCGTTGAATTTAGAAATCTAATAAGAGAAACATATGATACCTTGCATTCAATTGCTAATTTTTAGGGTATAGGAAAAGTAAAACTGATATTTTAGAATTCTTTCCACATATACTGTATATTTACTCACAAAAATGAAGTAAGTATATTCTAGCTATGTAAAAGTTTTGTATAGAGTGACCAATATGTTATTGATTTTCTATTACTTCATCAAGGTTGCCACATGGGTGGATGAAACTTTGTCTCATGTCGCCTCAAAACTTGAACATCCGGCCCAGATTTTCCCAGAATTCCAAGTTGACAAGATTGCATCATTGCACACTTGTGCCCTGTACACATGTGCAAGGTTGGAGAATGGTGCCTTATATTGGTGGTGAGTACTCTTTACATGTGCACATATTATAATGTTATTTCAGTGATTTTATTTTCTCCCGTGAATTGTTTGAGACAAAGTAAATGACAAGTTTGGACTGATTTGTGTTCAATAGTGTTGATTATATAATCATATTTACAATCAGCAGTAAATATCAGTCAAGCTCATTGTCTTGTCCATTGTGTTACCCAGAATTCAATCTCATAATGATTCGTTTTATACCCATGATGCATAAAATGAGGACATGTGGAAATTGTTGAGTACACCATTGAAATCGCACACTGATTACATGGAACTCAGTGAGGAATTGCAACCTTCAAAGTATGTGTTGATCTTGCATGCCATTTTGTAACAGAAGAGCATATCTCTTTATCAAAGTATATTTTATTTCAATGCATTTATTTCCATATTTAAAACATGTTACCAAACGAAGGTGGATTGTGTTTTGTATTGAAGATTCTAACTCTTATCCATGAAGTTAATGTATGATAAAAGACACTTTCCAATGTTGCAGGGGAGTTATGCCACTTGGCCAAAGGAAAAAACTCCTAGAGAAGTCTCGCAACAAAGGCAAGAAAAATAAAGCCCCAAATGCAGGAAGTTGTAAATCTACAACAGAACGTGAAATTGTAGCTGGCTCCCAGGTTAGTTCCTTGTTGAGAAATGAATAATATTTCGTCATAATTATTATAGGTGCTAGATTGTTCATTAAGAAGAGAAGTCAAAGACATATTTTTCCATGAGTTGGCTAAAGTATGTTTTTTAGGCTTTACTACATTAGAATTGTGTTTCAAAATTGTGTAGCAACAGCTCAAATATTTGGGGAAACTGTGTTGTCAGTGCCCACCCTTCGACTTCCACACAAAAGAGGTTGAGGATCAGGGATTGAGGGAAGGGGAGAGGCTTTTGAAAATATGTCACTTCGCTCAATATGTCTAAATTAATCCTCAAATGTTTCTATTTCAGGTGTGTTTACGGAGCTCTCCTCTCTACCATGCAGGAACGACTGCTTTCACCACAATAGATGGCGTACCTAAAGTAGGTCAGCTGATGGAGGCTGCATGGTCGCTTACTGATGTCTGTCGTTTTAAGATCAAAGTTCCCTCACCACCTATGTAAGTAGATGACTTGACGACAATGTCTGCATATATTTATTGATAATCCTTGTTGGATCAGCTTTTATGTATTGAGTTGGCTTGTATCAAACCTCTGTGGCTGTAACCATATTCCTGGAACCCAGTGATCTCCTCAGCATTAAAGCAAGGGGGCGCAGCAACCATCTGAGATTTTAAAAACAGGCTTGAACCCACCTGAAAATCCATTCGCTTGCACCCACTTGAAAAAAAAATTGTAATCATGTTATAAAAAATGAATGTCATTCTCTCAGGGAGCCAAGGGAACCTAGACAGAAAGCGATGAAAGTGTCAGTTGATAAACCTGTTAAGTCGTCCAATGAACCAAAGGCCCCAGACTTCAGTGCTGAAATGCCACCTCCACCCTCCCCTGCCTCTAGTACTTGTAGCGACCACAGCGGACACTCTCTTATCAGTCCAGGCTCACTCAGTAAGTTATAATCAGTGGTTTGTATGTTTGTTTTTCTCTTTATATAGTGCAATCACATCTTCACACGCTCCGGTCTTCACTGCGTTCATCAACCGACGGGAGCCGAGTGAAAAAAGATAGTGCAATCAGTTATATGCTTATCAGCAAGAGTCATCTCGTATTTACCCCAAACAATTGTACTCTCTCGGGGTCTTCTACATTTTTTTTCATTTTTTTCTAAATGGGTTGCAGAAAGGTTTATTTTTGTGATGGGTACTGCAATTAACAGATATTTGGAAATTAAAGGTCCCATGTAATATATGGTGATTTTCACATAAGAGGAAACTGATTTTAATATATTTCCATTTGTAGAGCGCAAGAAGCAACCAACACCTGTTAAGGAGATAGAGAAAAGAGAGGAAGAAGAACAATGGCCTCTTAAAGATGTCATCTTTGTGGAAGATATCAAAACTGTTCCTGTTGGCAAAGTTCTAAAGGTTTTCTCCTATTTATGACTTGAATCTTGCTTTGGGATCTATATTATTTCTACTTGTCTATTGTCATAGACATCTACATACAGCTTTCATATAACTTATTGTTTGTTCTAGTATCCTTGTATGTTAACCAGAGTAAATGGCATGATTCATGAATCTCCTGTTTTAGTGTTTGAGTAGTAAGAAAGATGGCATCTAAACTCAGGACAATTTGTAATCTCATAAAAATTGTCATAATTTGCATTTGAGGCAAGGAGGATTGGCTCCCAGGATCAAAACTCGATATTTTCCAACAATGAAAACGTCGAAATGTCGTTATTTTCTGAAATTAAAACCGACTATAAATTCAAAATAAACAGTTCAAAAGATTCGAACCAATATCTCGATCATTTCTTGTGAGTTTTGGAATTTTTCGTTTGGAAATAAGACCAAAATTCACGATTTAAATGTTGAAGTGAACAAAATGGCGGCTGTTTGAATTCGAATTTTGTATTACGACATACCCATATATGGGACAGAATATCGGTGGTGCACTCTGGGAGCCAATCCTCCTTGCATTTGAGGCTTGGGTGCAGTGTATTTGAATTGTCATTACTATTATTTATATCAAATCATTGGTGGAGCATTACATTCAATGTTTTATAAATCATTTAGGTGGATGGTTCCTATGCTGCAGTAAGATTCAATGCAAAAGATGCTGACCAAGCTGCGTCCAAAGATGAATTGAGTGCCGTTCTCCAAGAGTGTCGTCTGCTACGTAAAGATGAGCTTCAGATTGTCAAGGCTGGCAATCCCCCCAAGGTCCCTGACTGCTTTCAGAGGGTTCCCAAGAGGATAAACACGGAATGTGGAGAGATTCTTGCAGTCTCAGCTGATAACCAAAGTAAGCTTTCCATGTGGTTATTAAAAAGAAGTTGAAGGATCATATTTTTTGCTTGTTTTATCTTGTCTGTGAGGTTTTAGATTATACTATAGCTGTTGTCTGTGTCCTTTTCTAACCTACGTTTAAGATTTACATAAGATAGTACACTTACTTTGAATATTATAAAATCAGGCTGTGAAACGAATTAACTTAAAAAGAATCCTGGAGTTGTGGATTCTAGGGTGCTATATCAAGCTATAGGCATCTTTGTAATATTCTAGTCGAGACATTTTGACTCATACAAGCTCCCTGTGCTTCTCATTCACATGAAGTCATTATCTATTGTCTATTGTAGGTATTCACATAGTTGAACAGACTGGCAATAAGATGTCCTATAAGGTCTTTAACTTGAGCTCAGCTAAGGTGGAACAGGACCGTACATTCCCCACTCACACAGGGGCATTCCTAGGGCACTCAGAGAGTAACATCACTTTGCATACTTCAATGGATGTAAGTGCAAAATTTAGTCTCAAACGGGTCTTATCCTATTTCCTGAAAATTTGAAGATTGTCTCAATTTTCTTCAAAGAGCTATTTGAATTTTGTAATTTGAAATTAAAACTAAAAGAAAATATCCAGAATACTGACAATAGCATTAGCATTGCATCAAATATCATTATTAGATATTTAGTTAATTTAACTTTGTTTTGTTTATTCAATATTACAATGCATGCACCCAAATTTGCTATTGTCATTATTATGTAATATATGAATATTCTATTGTGTCTTTATAGGAGAGTCCTGTTTTGCTCCAAGATGGAAACAAGGCCTTGTACCCCCTAGCCAAAGACAGCTTGGAGGGGGTGAGGGACCCTGTTTGGTTGAATCTCCCACCCCTGCAGTCTCTCAGTCTGGGCATTCAACATTTAGGGGCATTCAGTCTTAATACCAAAACTAAGGCAGCTCTTATTGTTTTTGCCCTCCAGGTAAGAAAATCTCAACATCACTTTGGTAACTTTAAAAATATATAAGGATAGACGTAAAATATCATATTTTAGCAATAAAGCTTCACCAAATATAATTTATGATCACAATTTGATGAAAAATCATAAAAAAAATTCATTCATTTTGTCATTATGTATAAATACATTTCTTCTTGTTTTATCTCTTTCATTTTCATTTCTAGGCTCAAGAACTTATCCCAAGTATTCTCTGTTGTGATTTGGAGAAAGTTCAGAGCATTCTCAACTCTATCAATGACAACACTGGTGAGTCATCTTTCCTACCATTATAACTGGGAAAATAATACTTCATTGGAATATATTGCTGGTTGCTAGATAACATACTATGATAAATGAAAAAATATGAAAAAGAAAAAAATTATTGAGACTTGCAGTTCAATGAAATAGCATTATTAAATATTTATTTTTGTAAAATTATGAGAGCATAGACTCGTTGTATGTAGGACTTCAGTGAAATAACTTCATTTTGTTGGATATCATTTTTTTGGTTGGCATCAGATTCTCCTCATGCAGATGGCATTCATTTGCAAGGCGAAATTTTGTCATTTTAATGCCTTGTCTCTATCTAAATGCAATATACACTTTGTGCTTCAGACACTGCCACACAGGAACAACAGGTGCAGAATTTAATACAGGAGCGCAGTGATGGAGGACGTAACATCATCCACGCAGCTGTTGCTATGTGTAGCCCGACAACAAACAAAGAGAATGAAGCAGATCAGTCAATAGGTGGCGGTGCGTCTTCACTAGATGCTATTACTTCTGTGAATAACGCCATTGATGTCCTTGCGAGTATACGAGCGCAATCCCAGTCTACTGAGGATAGGATTACAGCAAGGAAGTAAGTAGTGTTTATACTCTAAATATACATCTCCTCCCTGGGATTTGGTCATTTATATATCCCAGTGACTCAAATAACAAAGGGGTGCTAGAAACCCTGATTAAATTGTACATTTGGGTGCCATGGACATCCATTATATTCTCTCTTTTCCTTCCAGTTTTAAAGTCATCAGAGAATGAATTAGAACATACTATGCATGTTAAGGCAATAACAATTGTCATATTTACAGAGCTGGTGTTTTTACTTTATTCCTTTGGCTACTTTGTATGTCATACATCTTTGTGCAATTTGAATTTGGTAGAAATGAAACATGACATCATTGTGCTGTCATGGTAATAAATGAAATCAACCATACAACTAATCTACCAAATACCTTTCCATTGATGCCCTTGCAAGAGAAATACTAATTACAGATGCAAGTGAACCCATTAGAATCTGACACTTGTATTTTTTTAGTGTTTTTAAAATTGACATGCCATGATTTCATTGATAATTCACGTAAAAAAGTTGATTCCATAGTCTGAGTTCAAATTCATACAATTATACCAAAACATGTGATATTTTAATATACTAAAAATTTACAGTGAAATTCAAGACCTGAACAGTTTTTGAGTATGTTGTTACATTATATTATGTCACCACCACCATATTGTTATGGTCTCCATTTTTGTGACGGTGGTTGACGGTTGGTGGTTGGCACCAAACAAATTATTACAACTTCCAATACTGTTTAGACTGACTTCATTTTTTTTCAAAATCATCTATAAGTTTTCAGAAGCTCAAAGCTGATTTAAGATTTGACCTTCAATGACCTTAAGAAGGTCAAAAAGGTTAAAAATGGTGAAAAAGGTATTTTTTTCAACTTGTTATGATTGGGGAAAATACTTTCAGTTAGAATCATGAGTGCTTTTAGTTTAGGGACATTCGTACAATAAGCATAGCATATACTGTATATTAGTGTTGTAACTCGCGGGGACTTTTGGAATCGAGTAATTCACGTAATTTTGAGTCTGAGATCGAATAAGATTCGCGATTTTTCATCAAAAAAGTAAACAAGAAAAAATCTTACCATTTCATGTCCTAAAGTCGTTTTTTAGTCCTGTTTTCAATGCTGTTCACCCCCACAATGGCCTAGGTACGTTAGGTATATCACGAGTTGTCCATATCTACCAATTCAAAGCATCAATGACTTTTATTTTAACTGACATCGCTGTTTTTTTTATTTCCGGTTCTACGGACTGAATAAACAAAGAAATTAAAAATAAACTCTAAAATATTTCGTTTAAATAGATTTATTACTCATATTCATTGAAATAAAAAAGATAACATGAAATGAATTGAAATAAAAACAAATAATACATGGAACAATCATTTAATTATAATAGTTTGACACTGTTTGACGTTTGTGTGGAAAGCAATGCATTTGACGTCATGATTCGCTGTGGAATCGCGAATACGAATACAAACTCGCGAATCCCAGACTCGTGATATAATTCGTGAAATCAGAACTCCTGATCGAGACGAATTCTATAGCACCTTGGCGAGACGATTCGATGACTACGTGAGTACTTATCTACACCACTACTGTATATAATCCCCTGGTTTAGATGTGTTCAGGTTGGCTTGAAGAGTCTCGATATCTTCTGGGATCATCGAGTACTTGTCAAGTAGTGTAGTTATATGTGGAAAGGGGTAAATCATTTATAATATCAGTACTATTAAAACAAAAAGATTTTCAATACAAGTATTTTAAAAATTCATTTCATTTTTATGTCACCACCACAAATGGTTGTTATATCTATTATATTATAGTATATTATAGTATATTATATTATATATAAATATTGTTATAGTCTCCAACTTTTTTTGTGGATGGTGTTTGGCAGTTGATGTTTGGTGATTAGTGTTCAGCAGCTGGTGGTTGGTGTCTGTAACAAATGGCAGGTGGTGACATTTTGCATGTTAATGCACTGTTACATTTATTCTCTCATTTGATTTTGTCACTAAGTGTTGGAATTGTATTAGAAAGTTTATTTCCAGGTAGTTTTTGAATGTCAAAAGTGCTCCCCACTTGAAACAAAAATAGATTTAAACTTCATTACACATTCATAGCCCAATTGGTTAATACATGCAGTTTTACTCTACATATAAATACACAATGATACAATGGACAGACTGATTCATTTAACTGAAATAATTTGTACATGAATTGCAAAATTTAGGTTGAGTAACTTTTTATCTCATATTTACTTTATTATATACGTGCACTCCAAAATGAGCAGTATTCCAAGTTTCAATTAATTTTCAATTAATTTTGAACATTGATGATCAGTTATTTCAATATCTTAAGAGTTGTAACTCCTTGATGTTGTGTCCATACTGATTGTATTGTGAATAACATTATGTCTTCCACACAGATTCAAAAGTTTGTCACGAAATGTTCTCCCAACAGCATTGTAGATAATGAAGTTTATCGAAGAATTCATGACGAGTAGGATAGCAACTACATTCTTTAAATCCAGGACAAACATAAATTGAAGTATCGCACTTGGTAGAATGAGACACAGGGAACTGATTGAGATGGTTATGAGGATATATGAGACTTGTTTATCATCAACTGATGGCATTCCTCCCTCCATAGGTTTGCATTTACACACTTGACGCAATATAAGCACATTTAAAATAGTGATTGATATTGATATTGATTGATATTGAACAACCATCCAGATGGTAATAATGCTACAGTATGATGCTAGTATCCCCAGTGAAAACTTCCAGGAGGCATGTAATGGAACTTCCAATCCAATATGTGTCATCGCTTGATCCATTATGGTAAAGAAAAGAAAAGAAAGATCAGTCATTGCCAGTGTCGTCATTAGCAACACCCTGGGGCTACGCTTATATTTTCTTATAAGGACAATCGCAGAGAGTATGTTCCCGATGAGTCCAAGTATCGCAACACAAATAATGACCCAGGAGAGTGTCACACCATTAAAATTACACAAAACTTTTGTGCCAAGTCTCTCACAATCCATGCTGTCATAAAATGTTGCTGTCCTGTTGTTTGCTGTATTTAGTCTCCTTCTATTGTCCATTGGCTGTGGAATATCATTGGGATGGCTAAAAATGCTATAATGTCTGCAATCTAGGGCCACCTCATTCATAGTACTTGCACCAATTCCGCCTATGTCTTCAGTGATTAATTCCTCTTTGTTTGCTATGCATACCTTCTCCTGCCATGCTTTTAGCTGCAAGTCCTCTCAGCCCTCTGCCTTTAGAAATTTAATTTCCTTACCAGTACTATGCTGCAAAGCTGTTGAAATTTTGTGCTGGTCAAATTATTTGATTGCAGATAAACAGTGGTAAGTATATACAGGTTGGGGCCAAAAAATGTCAGCTTGGTACTTTGCCATAAAACATATAGAAAAAGACAAAAGTATTCCATGTGGATTTGAAACTGAAAGGCCAATAACATGAATTATATCAGTATATGAACCAGTTCTGAAAAACCATATACTATTTTTAAATTCATCTTCTGTATAATATATATGCATGTACCAATATTATTTAAAACTATACAAATTAAGTAGGGATGTAGATTTGTAGGATGGTTCAAAAACCTAAGGGGAACTTTTGAAAAATTATAAGTAAGACAACAGGGTAATGAAGCACATGATTATACTATCGAAAGTTGTTTGAGTAGGCATATTAGATAAGTTTTTTCATCCTTCTGTTTGTACAGTTTTCTGTACGAGCAATAATTCAAATACAGTGGTTGCCAAAGTTGGTTTGAATTTTTAAAGGCCCCGTATAAAGTTTAAACCACTTTGGCTTATATTGTAGTCTTACCCAATGTTATCAAAGTGTGATATGTGAAACTCGTTTTTAAATTTCAAAAAGTGGTTTTTGATAGACCTTTTGTTCCAAAATTTGTGAATTTATTTAAAACCAACTTTTAGAGGTCACTCATATCTTCTAAGTAGCCACAGTTCATACCAATGCATGGCATTCATCCTCCCATGTTTTTGCCGAAAATTTTTTAAAAATCGGTTCATAAATAAGCGAGAAATGAACTTATCAGTGCATGAAAATGGTTCTGAGAAAAATGCATTTCAAAATTTTAGTTCTCATAGAAACCAATGGTACAATGATATCTAAAACATAATTTATTCTTCCTTTTAACCTGGTTAGATCAACATTGTTTTTTTTATGAAAGTCTAGCATATTTAGAAAAGATTGACATCGAAAAAAAAATTTCATTTTTTTTCAAAAAGTTTTTGTTACCTTAGTATCACTAATGTTTCAAAATATTTTTGATATGCTAAAACATTGAAGTGGCCCATTAAATATGGCATTTTATTATTGAAATAGTGTGTCCTTTGTTCAATCTTTGCATTGGTGTTAAAAAGATAACCTTTTTTGAAATGCATTAAGAAATATTTGATGATTAAGAAATTTCTTTTTCAAAAAACTTTTTTTGAAAAATGGCGGGAAATTTGAATATTTGAGAAATGAAATGCTCACAACTTTTTTTTCAAAATTTTTTTTTGTTCAAAAATCTCTAAAATCACTTTTTAAGTCCTGACAAATAGTAAATGAAGGATAAAAAAATATTTTCAAACTTTAGATGGGGACTTTAAGGCTGATGCCTTGTAGGCATAGACTTCCAAACTTGCTTCTCAGTTTAAATGTCCATTTCTCTGCAATTTTTTTGTTAAACTGAAGTGTCTTTTAATATTTTATTTAAATCTAAATTATTTGGTCTATATTTTTATTATATATACATGTTTATGTTGTCATTGTTTACTAACTGTTCATAATTTTATCTCACATGTTCATGTGCTGAAGAATATATGTAAAATAAATGCTCTTTAGTCTTATGTTGTTTTATTGAGAGATCATATTTTAGTCTAGTAGGAAGGTATGGTCCCCATGCACCCGAAAGATGTATTTTTTTAATGTACATTTTTGTAATCCTAAAGGTCCATACTAAAGATTTTTGCATGTTCCCAGAATGAAATATTGTCCCATGGTATCCATTGGCGGCCATCTTGTCGGCCATCTTGAATTTTTGAAAGAGTTGGTGTTAATTATCTCAAAGTACAATAACTTCCACAGTTTTGAGAATTGAAAGCTGTAAGTGGTACCAAAATGAAGCTTTTATATTATCCTATATTATCAGATGCAATAATTATGCAAATTGCCTTATTTGCATAAAATGTGACATCATCAATCATAATTCTTGCCTCTTTACAACGGTATCGCATTATACCTTTCCGCCTGAGTGATCAGTCTTAATAATTCATGAACATAAATGAATTTAAATATATAGTTACATTAATTTTGAACATATTTGCAATTGAAAGTTTTGGAAAAACATTGTCAGACACATGATTATGTAACTGAAAAGGGGCGTGGCACTTCTTGCGAAAGAATTGATGTTAATCATTTCAAAGTACAATAACTTCCACAGTTTTGAGAGTTGAAAGCTGTTAGTGGTACCAAACTGAAGCTATCACAAAATCCTATATTATAAGATACAATAATTATGTTAATTACCATATCTGCATAAAATATGACATCATCAATCATTATTTTTGCCCTTTTTCAACGTAATGCATATTGCCATTTCCTCTGAGTGACCAGTCTTGGTCTCTCATGAATATAAAGATATTAAATGTATACATTCATTTTAAACATATTTGCAATTGAAAGTTTGAACATATTTGCATTGAAAGTTTTAGAAAAACATCGTCAGAAATTAAGGTATGACCTTTCAAATGATTATTGTTCTGAAAAGGGGCGTGGTACTTGTTGAAAATCTGTAATGTTATTATATAGTCAATGTATCATTTGTAAAATACCCAGGGGTTCACTGAATACACAATTCTGTAGGGGTCCTAGGCTGAGCCCTCAGATATCATTATGTTTCCATACCAATCTGTCAAATTTCAATGTGTTCCCATACCAACCAAAATAATGCCCAAAAGCCATACCAAATATCCAAATATAAGACCAATGCTATATCAAATTTCCAAAAAAGGACTAATGCCATTCCAAATATCCCAAAAATATAAGACCAAGGGAATGCAAAATGTCTAAAGCCCCTGGAAGAAGGCAGAACTTTTAGGAAAATGATCCAAAACAACCTCAAATTAAGGACATTTGTAAAAACTAGACCAATCCCATACCACAAGTGAGAGGTAACCTATTCTCCATGACCATTCTTGTACCACAAAGTAGAAAACTCCGACCATTGTCATACCTCAAAAGTCATATTTTGGGGGCATTCTCATTCCATATCCTAAAATTTGGATCCATTGCCATACCAAATGTTAAAAGAGGTACCCCCGTCAAGGTTTATATACAGTGTAAAATATAGCTTTTGACTTTTAGAAAGTAGCCCAGTGATGTCCCTTATTCCTAGCTTGTTCAGAAATTCTTGTTGGTCTGTTTGGCAGACATTTAAATTTTAGCCAAAGATATATAAGCTGTATCGCTTTTGAACTAAGTACTGTACAGATACGAATGACCACATATCCCCATATCATTTTAGTATAGGCAATGAACTGAAAAGGGTACCCACAGTATTCAGTTGTTAAAGCTATATAATTAACTCAATATGTATTAAGCCTGTACCTCAGTCCAATGTTTTATCCAAGACATCCGACTGGACTCTCAACTGACCTCTTCCAAAAACTCAGTGCTGATGTCAAAACACAGTAGGACCATCATCTTCAATGAGCTCACGATACCTTCAGAAGACCAACTAAAATATCGCATCAGCTTAAAAATCCAAGACCTATTTGATGAGGCTAAGACAAAAGGGTGGTATGCAGTTATGCAACCAATAGAAGTGGGATGCAGAGCCCAGCCTCTTCACTATGCTACCTCTTATCCAAGTTAGAACGATTTCAATCCCAGATGCGAGGACAAGGAGTGGAGGAAACATCTGTGAAACACCATTGTGTTGGGCCAAGTAGAAGACAAAAGCTTCTCTTGGGACGGAGAGATGAAGCCCACAGTGTTAGTGGACGGCTTCATCACTGGCAAGAGAGCTCCAACAGATGCTTCTTAAGAGATTACTTCATCTTAGTCATCCAAAGATTCTTCTTCCAAAGATAGAAACACTCAGGAAAAGAGAAGCATAGGACCAGGAAGACATTCTTTGAAAATCTCTATAGGCTCACATCAAACTTGTTAGGGAACCAAAGAGTGCCCATATGGCATGTACGCAGGATCAAGCAGAAGCAAATACTTTGGCAGCACACAGTGACCCAGATCGAGAGATGCCATTGGGTAATTTTCCAATTGACATCCCACCAGATTTATCATCAAAACTGTTTGACCAGTCAGATTTCAAGCTTGATGAGGTAAGAACAATCATCAGGAAGGCTCAGCCTCAGGTCTAACAGGTGTGACATACAGGGTCTACAAGAACTGCTGAAAGCTGTTAATACATCTATGGCGATTGCTAACAAGCATCCAGAACAAAAAAAATCTAGCAAGGACTTGGCCTTTGGCGGAAAGGTGCTTCAGTCCAAAGGAGCTAAAATTTGAGCGACTGAACCAGTTCAGGTAGACATCATTATTGGATGCTGAGGGAAAGATCTTCTGGGCCATTATGGTCAAGCCTCGAAGTTGTTTCCTAGTGGCCTGCCAAGCATTCAGAAAAGTGGTCTCCCAAGACATCATGTGGTACATATAGCAGCATAAGCCAACTTGTGAAGGAAGCTAAGAAAGAGAATCAGTAGTTTGGCTGGACAGAAGGCCTACCTAGTGTCCCTCACCAACTGATACTAGAGGTACAAGTTCACTTTCACGTACCAAAACCAACAGATGTAGTCAATCTGACAATGGGAAACACAAACTCCTTGAAGTTGCACAATACATTTTGCAATTATACCACTAATTAGCAGAGTTCGGAGAAAGGCATAGTGGCAGACTGCACTGTATCAGTAGTTCTCTTCGTAACATCCATGAACTTACTGATAAATGCAGGGATGATGCAGTGTAAGGTTCCACAAGCAAATGAAGGTGCAAAACACCTACCATAAAGAGCTTTCATGGATGACATCACAGTTATGACCAGTTCAGTAGTGAGTACCAGATGGGTTCTATTAGCTATGGAAAGAATGGCAAACTGGACTTGCATGAAGTTAAAAGCCAACCAGGTCAAGAAGCATGGTTTTGGTTGATGGCAAGCTTTTTCCAATGCAGTTCAAAATAAAGGGCAAGCAAATACCAACAGTGCATGATAAAAGAATCAAATGTCTAGAGAAGAACTATGACAAAACCTTGCGTGGTTTGAACAAAACAGCTGAAGTCTCAAGGGACCTGGACAAGTGGCTTAAAGCCATTGACTCAAGTCATATATCGGGGCGTTATGACATTACTCCCCAATTTCATTGGCCTTTCCAGATTTACGACATTACCTGGGAACCCTCACTTCAGCAATTCTTGAAATGGAATGACCTTTGGTCCATGGACCGAGGGGAGTTCAATTTCCTATTAAGAGCTTTCCTTGACCTGGTCTCAACTCCATCAA